AACAAAAAAAAAAAAAAAAAAAAAACAAGTAATTAACAAATAGACATTTTACAAACGAGTTAAAATACTTATTATTAGTATTATATTTATATTAGTTACGTTTTGTTGCTACTTTTTTAATGTTCATATTGATTCACACTCCTTGGACGTGGTAATATCGGTAGAAATTTAATACTATGGATGATTTAAATACTACCTGTCTTGCTTCTGCAGAACGACATCGACACTGAAGGCTGGCCTTCCTTCACCGTTGCCATGGATGTGTATACCATACAGAAAGTATTGGCATCTATGCCATGATTCGATTCTCACATGCAGGCAAACGCCGCCTTGTACTTCATGATCTGAGCATGCTAAATCCTAGTTTTCAGAATTTCTTTTGAAGTCGAAGCTTGGAATCCGAATGGTCATTGGGGTATGTCTAAAATACAGAGGGTATCAAGTTGCTTGGAATGCGCTCAGATTTCTCCTTGTATTGGCCTATTGCTTAATCTTTTGGACGCTGACCACGAGCAATGGTATCATTCAGGAGCTGCAGGTTTCTACTCACTTTATCTTCCACCTCTAATTTTTTGTTATTAATTGCATTCTGACTGTCACCGTTATAAAATTTCTTTACCCTCATAGATTTAGGGCTCTTTATTCATGGATTTGATGAACTTCTTATGTAGCTGGATTTGTATAGGTTGTATTCATATCGAATAGAGAAATTAGTTTAAAAGTCTAGATTGGTATGGTTGGCGTTGGTATGTTAATAAGCACGGACAAATTTTGGCTAGCGTTTGTCTGTTTGGTACTAGATGTTGGACACTTACTAAACGACACTAGTTCTACAAAGTTAATATATAGTTGTACAAAGTACTCATTGAGCAAATTAAATGAATACATGATACTACAAGAAACATATATATGTAATTTTTGTGTCTAAAATACATTTTTAAGCATATAAATGCATAAATTTTAATTTATTAACTTTGTTCTGGTATAAAAATGATGATACATATTTTAATAAACATGACAGTATATGATGTATTCGCTTCATATCATTGTGTTTAAGCTATGTCTGTATTCACACATCGGCACTCCAAAACCCTAAAATTTAATTTGGTCTCTAAAACGTTTCAGTTTAGTCTTAGAATCGATTTGATAATGGTCACGTTTATTTAACTCAAGAATCCCTTGTATATGAAGAACATGGTTTGAGAATTTCTTCGTTTTTTCTAAAAGAAAAATAAGAACAAAAATTAATTAAACAAATTGGAGTGGACACTATCTAAGACAGAGACAAAAACATGTACCAAAGTGGACATACATTATTTTAATGTTGAGTTCATCAATTATTATTAACAGATTAATCTAATAAGTAGTATATACTCTAAAATTCACAATTTTAAAATTGAAGAACATAATTAAGAATATTGGGTAAAAATCAATTTATACTTACCTTAGCCCCACCAGTTATCTCTCTCTTCCTTTTTATTTTTCCTTTCTGTTTGTGCCAACTGTCGTGTGGTGAGCATCCAGCATGCGCACACCACACCACACTCGCTCGCCTAAGCACCGCCTGTTGTCGCCAACCAGTCGACCTTGGCGCCTCATTCACGCCGCTCGCCGCTTAACCACAGAGGATGAGGCTCCGTACGGACGCCAGCAGCTTACATGCACGTCTGCCACTGCTCTGCACGTCGTTGACTGCCTTGCTTCGTCGTCACATTGTGTGGGACTTTCCTTCGACCATTCGAGGGAATTAGCCGATGTTTCATCCAACCATCATGAACACCAAATTTTTGGAGGTTGAACGTGCTGTCCAACAAGATTTATCAACCTTTTTAGATGAATTAGGATAGAACCTGAATGGTCTATGATTTCCATTTTGATTAAGATCAAATTATCAACATGTAATTACACTTGTGTTGCCGATGATGAGATAAACTAGGCTCCATTGGGTGTTAAAAGCAGAAGCAAAAGCTCTCAAGTGCCTCATGAAAATTAGTTGCCCATTCCTAAGCAAACCAGAGACCCATTTGAAACAGAGAGGTGGCATGTTTGAGCAGAAGAGAATTTAATGCTAACCTTCACTCTAAAGATGAAGAAAGAAAGTGCAGCAGGTCTGTGTGAGGCATTTCATCAAACGGGTAAGGAGCATGAAGTGGAGTGGATACATATTATCCACCATTCCCATAACTCAAAACATAAATCCATCCCAAAATCTCAATAAACACAGAAGAAAGAAGAACGCAGATACTTCTAATCATTTAACCCTAAACCTCCAAACCACCCAAACATCTGAGATTTCACGCACAAAACCAGTGGTTTCTTCCATCGCAGCCCACAGCCACAGCCACAGCCACAGCCCACATTTCAGATTCAAAGAAAAAACGAAAATAAAAAGAGAGGCGAGCAAAAAAAAGTTTATTAGTCTGTCAGACCGCTATGCGACCATCCCAGGCAGGGCGAACCTACCCGAGAACGATCATCTACAGCCGCCGGACCAAAGGGTCCGTAAACCGTTAGTCACGCTCTAGTCGCACAGCAGTGGTTCATCCACCAGACTTAGGTTCTTGTCTCCTTAGAACTCAAGGACACAGTTGTACAACCTATAGAACAGATCCTGTTCAAGTAAGGTCGTGCCCTAATGCCTTCATCCGCTTACTTAAATACGCTTTCTCTTATTCGCCAATTTCCGATGTGGGATATCTGACACACTGACTTGGGCCAAATCAGCAGCCGTAAATACCCATCAAATCAGCTCATTTAGTTTAGAAATTCACAATTGTCAACTAATAATTATCTTTATTTTTTTATGATATTTTTTTCCATATATATACAACCTTTTTATTATTATTATTATTATTATTATTATTATAGATTATATTAAATTATAAAAACTAATCGATGAGATTTTATTAAACTTCAAGATATAAGCAATTTTCTAATTTAACCCATTTTTCATTTGAGAGTTTTTTTTTTTTTTTTTTTTTTTTTTTAATTT